GCAGGGTCTCGGCTCTCTGGCCGGACCAAGCCGACGCTTTTATCATCAAAGGAGTGGTCGCGCGTCACATCGCCACGGAAAGTTTTCTAAGGCAGATGCACAGAAATCGGTCGGCTCGAAAGGGAGAGGCATCCTGCGCCGTGTCCTGGGCTTTGGCTTCTAGCCAGGTGAAGCTTTCCTTTGTTTAAGTTGGCAGTTAGGATACGATAAAGCTGAGACGGCTTGCAGCGAAGGCCGACGAATGTGGAGGTCTCGGCTTTCTGGCCAGACCAAGCCGAGGCTTTTTTCGTCAAACGAGCTTTTGTGCGTTACAAAGCTATGGCAAGTCTTGTAAGGCAGATGCGCAGAAAGCGGTCGGCTCGAAAGGGCGAGGCATCCTGCGTTGCGTCCCTGGCCTCGGCTTCTAGGCAGGTGCAGCTTTCCTTTGTTTGAGTTGGCACTTAGGACACGACAAAGCCGAGGCGGCCTGCAGCGAAGGCCGATGTTGCACACACACACACACACACACACACACACACACAAGGAAGTGCATCTTTTCCGATACGGACGTTGCCGGGATCTCAGGTTGAGTGGCGTTCTTCAACGGCAGTGATTACGATTTTAGAGAGGCAGAGATGCCGACGACTCGTTATTCTCGCGGCGGAGCATGCGAAGGCAGTAGGGCGAGAGTTTTGCAGGTCTCGGTTCTCCGGCCGGGACGAGCCGAGCTTGCGCTCGACGTACGTCTTCAGGCAGTGGTAGCGTGGCCCGCCGCCATGGGTTGACATGGGACACCCAAAAAAAACATGCAGGTGCGTGATAAGTGCATGTGCTTCCAGTTGAGATGTTCGGCGAGCTCAGGTAGACCTCTGTCGCTCCAGGGCAAAGAATACGAACCCAGAGAGGCGGGGATTCCCGGCACATCTTTCTCTTGCGGCGGAACATGCGTAGTCAGGAGGGCGAGAGTTTCGCAGGGTCTCGGCTCTCTAGCCAGGCCAAGCTGAGCTAGCACTCGACATACATCTTCAGGTACTCGTTACGAGGCCTGTGTGCAGGGTCTCGGCTTTCTGGCCAGGCCAAGCCGAGGCAGCACTCGACTCACATCTTCACTTTCTCGTTGCGAGGCCCGTCGCTATGGCTTTGCATGTGCCTTTGAAAATACAAATAGGTAACGGCCCCAGCGATCTGTGCGCGGGGTTGCTGGATGGTCTGGCCAATTGGGTCAAGGCGCCGCCACACCTGTTCTGGGGGATTGGGGCCTCTCTGGTCGGCGTGCCAGAACTGAAGCGGAATCTTGGGCGTGCTCTTGGCACTGCTTCTGTGTTTCTGCAGCTCAGGGACAATGGACGCGATGTTGTTTGCAGAGTGTCCTGCCCTCCCTTCGTGCACGTGCACTTCCTGCCGCCACTGCTACATTCCTTCGAGTGGGTAAAGATCGTCTGCGTCCTTTTCGAGCAAAATGACGAGTCGGAGGCCTTGGCGGTGCTCATGCACAGGGAGGTGCCGGAGCTTGCTCACGAGATCTGGGACGAAGTGTTGTGCATCGTACGCCATAAGCACTTTCACGTTCTCATCGTGCTGATTTGGCGAGGCCGCCTTGCCGTCGATCATCTACACCTGGTGGAAGCTTCGCCATCCGGGCGCGCTCCGCTCCTGTCGCTGACTGTGAACGACCATGGAGGCCACTTCGAAGCGCTTTTGGCATTGCGCGCGGAGGTTAACTGCCCGGACAGTCGTGGTCATACTCCTCTGGCTTATGCGGTCCGTGCCCGCTCGCCCGCTCGCGCTACGCTGTTGCTACAGGCAGGTGCCGCGGTCGCGCCGGACACGGGATATTGCCCGCTCCTGCTGTCCGTGGCTGAGAGTCAGCGTGACATGCTGCATATTCTGCTGCATGCCAGGGGCTGCCCTCATCGGCGTGCCCCATCAGGCAGCCTTCGCGGAATTTCTCCTTACGATTTGGCGTGTCAATGGGATGATGAAACGACTCTGCGGTCTTTCCGACTGCATGGGCACCACGCCGCTGGCTTGCACCCGCCGATCCTGCCCGTTTGTTATTCTTTGAGCGGCACCGAAGTTGCCCTCAGCGAAGCCGGAGCCCAACACATTTCGGTGCTTGAGCATTGCCATCGCATGCCTTCGGCGGGGTTGGCTGCCGAAGAACACGATGATCGGGTTGCCATCACCTACGACTCTTCTTAGTCTTTGTCTGTGCGGGCTTATGCATTGGCCTTGCGGCGTGCTCTCGTTGGGGGTCACCATGACTCGGCCGCTAACATCCTGGAGCGTTATCCCTTCTTGATCAACGAGCAGGAGTCTCGAGTGTGGGGCGAGCAGGGCCTTCCTCTTCTTTGGGCGGTCGTGCGACAGGAAGCCGGTGCCGTTTCCACGCTGTTACAGGCGCGGGCCTCTCCGAACGCAACGCCCGGTCACGCTGCCCCGTTGCTTCTTGCGGCTCGACATGGAGGAATCGAAGCGGCCACTATACTTCTTATGGCACGAGCAGACGTCGGTCACGTTGGTGCCGGCGGCCAGTGCGCGCTGAGCGCAGGGGCGGAGCGTCAGTCTTATCCGGTGGTTTTGCTTCTCCTGGAATTCCGCGCTCATGTGAGTCAGGACCCGGAGGATCTTTTGCCGCTACTGGACAAAGCATTTTTGGGTGCTCGCAAAGATTTGGACCATTGCGCCACGCCGGCTCTATTGCTACGAGCCGCTGGTGCCCTTCCGCACTCCGCACTTTTCCATGCCGTAATCTCGGACCTCGTTCCGCGGCTCGTGGCCGAAGGCCACTGGTTCGGCCTCTTCGTGCTTCAGTGCTGGGCGCATTCTCGGTCGGGGCTCGATTCGACGGCCGTCCCAGGCTGTCCTGTCGCTCTGGCTTCGGGCTCCTAATCGATGACGCGTCGCTGTTGCCACACGAGCACGGAGTCTGTATCATACCAACAGAGGACCCAGTGCAGTATGGAAATTGCGATCGTGCAGGCAGGTCAGAGGAGGGACTTTGTGCGGCGGCGCTGGGGTTTCTTCCGCGGTGTGCTTCTCTCGTTCAGGTCCTTCCTTGCCTTGTTGACAGAGAAGCACCCTGCTTTGGTCGCGATGGAGAGCTCCTGGATAGGCAGGAAACTATCTTGCTTGGTGGCGAGAAGAACGTCTTGGCAGCATTCTCAATGGCCTGGTGAAGCCGATGTTACGCGCGACCGGGACAGCAGGCTCTTTTGCTGTCTCGGCCGTCTCCAGGCAGGATCTTTGCGAAGCTGCCGACAGCGTCGACGGAGAGTTCTAGGTTCCTTAAAAAAAAACCTCAGGAAGAAGAGAGATCGCAGATACAGACGAGACGAAGCGCAAAACCCGGGCATTTGCTCGTCGGTCAGGCAGGGGACCGTCTTGCTCGCTCGCGATATTCAGGACTTGCCAGATTTCTCAGGGAAACAGTGGGGTCTCGGCTCCATGGCCATGCCAAGCCGAGTCCCGGGCTTTGGCTTCTAGCCACGTGAAGCTTTGCTTTCTTTGATTTTGCACTTAGGACACGACAAAGTCGAGGCGGCTTGCAGCGAAGGCCGATGTTGCAGGCACACACACACACAAGCAAGCGCATCGTTTCCATTCGGATGTTGCCGCGATCTCAGGCCGAGTGCCGTCCCTCAACGGCAGAGACTAGGATTTTAGAGAGGCAGGGATGCTCGTGGCTCGTTTCTCTCGTGGCGGAGCACGCGAAGGCAGCAGGGCGAGACTTCTGCAGGGTCTCGGCTCTCTAGCCAGACCAAGCCAAGGTTGCATTGGACGTACATCTTCAGGTAGCGGTAGCACGGCCCGCCGCCATGGCCTCGCGCGGGACACGAAAAATGCATGCCACCCAGCATCCGGAGACTCGATCTCAGGTGGAGTTCCGTTCCTGAACGGCACAGCAGGCGAGCCTAGAGAGGCGGGGATGCCGACGGCTCCTTTCTTTGATTTCGGAGCATGCGTGGACAGCAGGGCGAGAGTCTTGCAGGGTCTCGGCTCTCTAGCCAGGCCAAGCCGAGCTTTGTTATTTTTCTTGATTATATCTTGTTGAAGTAGTGGCTCTGCGGCACACCGCCATGGCTCTTTGCGTGCTTTTAGAAATTCAGAGGGGCGACCGTCCCAGCGATGTGTGCGCGGGGCTGCTGGATGGTTTGGCCGACTGGCTGAAGGCACCGCCAATCCTGGTTAGGGGGCTTCAGCCCGTCGAGATCGGCGAGTTGGCCTTCAAGCGCGATCTTGGGCTTGCTCTGGGCACGGCCCCCGTTTTTCTGCAGCTGCGGGATGCCCGACGCGACGATGCCGAAGCAGCGGGTTCCCTCTCCTTGCTGCAGGTGCATTTCGTGCGACCAGCGCTCACTCCGCTCGAATGGGTCCTTACCGTCGACGACTATCTCGAGCGCGGGGACGAGGACGAGGCCCTGTCGGTGCTCATGCATGACGAGGTGCCGGAGCTGGCAGACGAGATCTGGGACGACACGCTGCGCTTCATCTCTCACTATCACTTTTCCCTTCTCATGATGCTGATCATGCGAGGACGGCTTGCCGTCGATCATGATCTCCCGCCGGAAGATTTCTGTTCCTGCCGTGCTCCTCTTCTTTCGATGGCCGCGAACCGGCCTCGCGGTGATTTCGAAGCGCTTTTGGCATTGCGGGCAGATGTAAACAAACCCGACAGTCGCGGTCATACCCCGCTGGTTTATGCGGTCTTTGCCTACTCGCGCGGTTGCACTACGCTGCTCCTGCGGGCAGGCGCTTCGGTCGCGCCGGACACGGGATACTGCCCGCTCCTGTTGTCCGTGGCCATGGGGCAGTGTCAAATGGTGAATGTTCTGCTACATGCGAGGGCGTGCCCCCATCGGCGTGCCGTAGCGGGCAGCCTTCGCGGGATATCTCCGTATGGTCTGGCGTGTGAATGGAATGACGGAGAGATCATGCGGGCTTTCCGAATGCACGGGCACCATACTGCGGGCCCGCACCCGCCGATCCTGCCTGTTTGCTTTTCCCTGAGTGGTTGCGAGGTTGCCCTCAGTGAAGCCGGAGCCGAACATGCTTTGATCCTAGAGCAGTTCCATCGCATGCCTTCGGTGGGGTTGTTGGTCGCCGAAGAACACAGTGATCGGATTGCCATCACCTACGACTCTTCCGCGTCCTTGCCAACCTATGCACTGGCCCTGCGGCGTGCCTTTTGTAGGCAAGACTACGACTTGGCTGCTAACATCCTGGAGCGTCGACCCTTCCTGATCGAGGAGGCGGAGTATATAGTATGGGGTGACGACGGGCTTCCTCTTGTTTGGGCGGCTAAAAGACGGGAAGTCGGTGCTATTTCTACGCTGCTACAGGCGCGGGCATCTCCTAACATGACGACGCCCGGCCACGCCGCCCCGCTTCTGCTCGCGGCTCGGCATGGGGGAATTGGATCGGTCGCTCTACTTCTCCTGGCTCGAGCAGATGTCAATCACGTCGATGCCGACGGCCTCTCCGCGCTGAGCATAGGGGCGGCGCTCCGCTCCCCCCCTTTGGTCTCGCTCCTGTTGGAGTTCCGCGCTCATCTGAGCACGCGGCCGGAGGTTCTTTTGCCGCTATTGAACAGCACGTTCCAGCGCGATGGCCTCGGCCACGACCATTGTGAAACGTCGGTTCTGCTGCTGCGCGCAGCCGGCGGCGTTGGGCATTCCGACGTGGTCCACAAGGTAATTTCGGAACTCGTTCCGCGACTCCTGGCCGAGGGCAATTGGTCCGCCATCTTCGTGGTTCACTGCTGGGCGCACCTGCAGTTAGGACTCCAATCGACGGTCGCCTCCGGCTGTTGCCCTGCTTCGGCTTCGGGGTCCTAGGTTACAGGGTGTTCCTGTTGCCAGAAGAGCATCGAGGCGCAGTCATTCTGAAAGAAATCCTACGACGAGAAATGAGATCGTGCATGTAGGTTGGAGGAAGAACTTCATTCCACGGCGCCGGCCCTTCTTTCTCGGTCTTTTCATCTCCCGGAGGTGCTTGCTCGATTGCGGGAGACGGACGTTGCCCGTTGCGACGGAGAGCTGATTGGACAGGCAGGGAACCGTTTTGCTTGCATTCGACAAGAACGATTTGCCAGCCTTCTCAGGGAAACACCGGTGTTTCGGCTTCTTGGCCAGGCCAAGCCGAGGTTACCCAGGAACCGAAAGGCAAGCCTTTCTGCCGTTCCGCCTGTCTCGAGCCAGGTTCGATCTTGTCGACGGGGATCGGTACTTTCCTTTCGTCTTGCGGAGCTGCTTTGGCAGGTTACTCAGGTACGAGCGACGCAGTTCGCGTCCCGCGCGCATGAATCCTTGTTTTGAAAGGCAGATTCACACAAATCGGTCGGCTCGAAAGGGAATGGCATCCTGCGCTATGTCCCGGGCCTTGGCTTCTAGTCACTTCAAGCTTTCCTGTCTTTGTTTTTTGCACTTAGGACACGACAAAGCCGAGGCGGGCTGCAGCGAAGGCCGATGTTGCACGCACACACACACACACAGAAAGAAGCGCGTCGTTTCCGATTCGGATGTTTCCGCGATGTCAGGTTGAGTGCCGTCCCTCAACGGCAGAGACTAGGATTTTAGAGAGGCAGGGATGCTCCTGACTCCTTGCTCTTGTGGCGGAGCACGCGAAGGCAGCAGGGCGAGACTTCTGCAGGGTCTCGGCTCTCTAGCCAGACCAAGCCGAAATTTGCACCTGACGTACATCTTCGGGTAGTCTTTGCGCGGCCAGTCGCCATGGCTTTGCACGGGACATCAAAAATACACGTTGCCGAGCATCCCAGCGACCTGCGCGTCGCTTTGCTGGAGGTTGGAGGAAGAAGTTCATCTCACGGCGCCGGCCCTTCTTTCTCGGTCTTTTCATCTCTCGGAGGTCCTTGCCCGATTGCGGGAGACGGACGTTGCCCGTTGCGACGGAGAGCTGATTGGACAGGCAGGGAAGCGTTTTGCATGCATTCGACAAGAACGATGTGCCAGCCTTCTCAGGGAAACACCGGTGTCTCGGCTTTTTGCCCAGGCCAAGGCGAGGCTACCTAGGAACCGAAAGGCAAGTCTTTCTCTCATTCCGCCTGTCTCGAGCCAGGTTCGATCCTGTCGACGGGGATCGGTACTTTCCTTTCGTCTTGCGGAGCTGCTTTGGCAGGTTACTGAGGTACGAGCGACGCAGTTCGCTTTCTGCGCGCTTCAATCCTTGTTTTGTAAGGCAGATGCACAGAAATCGGTCGGCTCGAAAGGGAACGGCATCCTGCGCTGCGTCCCGGGCCTTGGCTTCTAGCCACTTCAAGCTTTCCTGTCTTTGTTTTTTTGCACTTAGGACACGACAAAGCCGAGGCGGGCTGCAGCGAAGGCCGATGTTGCACGCACAAACACACACACATACAAAGAAGCGCATCGTTTCCGATTCGGATGTTTCCGCGATGTCAGGTCGAGTGCCGTCCCTCAACGGCAGAGACTACGATTTTAGAGAGGCAGGGATGCTCGCGACTCGTTGCTCTTGTGGCGGAGCACGCGAAGGCAGCAGGGCGAGACTTCTGCAGGGTCTCGGCTCTCTAGCCAGACCAAGCCGAAATTTGCACTTCATGTACATCTTCGGGTAGTCGTGGCGCGGCCAGTCGCCATGGCTTTGCACGGGACATCAGAAATACACGTTGCCGAGCATCCCAGCGACCTGTGTGTCGCTTTGCTGGAGGGTCTGCCCAACTGGCTCGAGGCAGCTCCCATGCTGGTTTTGGGGAGAGACCCTGCCGGGATCGGTGTGCCGGAATTGAAGCGCGATCTAGGGCGCGCTTTCGGCATCGCTCCCGTATTTCTGCAGCTGCGGGAGACTCGACGCGATATCGGCGAAGGGGCGAATTGCCCGCTCCTTTGGCATGTGCGCTTCGTGCGGCCAGCGCTGCTTCCCTTCCAATGGGTCCTTACCGTCAACGTCTATCTGACGCGCGGGGACGAGATCGAGGCCTTGGCAGTGCTTATGCATGACGAGGTGCCGGACTTGGCAGACGACATCTGGGACCAGACGTTCTCGACTATCCGACGTCAGCACTTTAAACTTATCATCATGCTGATCCTGCGAGGCCGCCTCGCCGTTGATCATCGGCTATCGGCGGAAGATGCTTCCTTCTGGCGCGCTCCGCTCCTCTCACTAACTGCGGCAGGGCCTCGATGCCATTTCGAAGCGCTTTTGGCACTGCGGGCAGACGTAAACAAACCCGACAGTCGTGGTCATACCCCGCTGGTTTATGCGGTCTTGGCAAACTCACACGCTCGCACTACGCTGCTCCTGCGGGCAGGTGCCATGGTCGCGCCGGGCACGGGATACTGCCCGCTCCTGTTGTCCGTGGCCAAGAGGCAGCGTCAAATGGTGCATATCCTGCTACATGCGAGGGCGTGCCCCTATCGGCGCTCTTCAGCAGGCAGCCTTCGCGGACTTTCTCCGCACGGTCTGGCGTACCAATGGGATGACTCAGAGACCATGCGGGCTTTTCGAATCCACGGGCACCATGCCGCCGGCCCGCACCCGGCGATCCTGCCCGTGTCTTTTTCCTTGAGCGGAAACGAAGTTGCCCTGAGTGAAGTCGGAGCCGAACATGCCTCCGTGCTACAGCTGTGCCATCGCATGCCAACGGTGCCAGGAGGGGCCAACCGGACTTATAGGACGTCCCCAGGGACAACCTTGGGATGCCCGACGCGACGATGCCGAAGCAGCGGGTTCCCTCTCCTTGCTGCAGGTGCATTTCGTGCGACCAGCGCTCACTCCGCTCGAATGGGTCCTTACCGTCGACGACTATCTCGAGCGCGGGGACGAGGACGAGGCCCTGTCGGTGCTCATGCATGACGAGGTGCCGGAGCTGGCAGACGAGATCTGGGACGACACGCTGCGCTTCATCTCTCACTATCACTTTTCCCTTCTCATGATGCTGATCATGCGAGGACGGCTTGCCGTCGATCATGATCTCCCGCCGGAAGATTTCTGTTCCTGCCGTGCTCCTCTTCTTTCGATGGCCGCGAACCGGCCTCGCGGCGATTTCGAAGCGCTTTTGGCATTGCGGGCAGATGTAAACAAACCCGACAGTCGCGGTCATACCCCGCTGGTTTATGCGGTCTTTGCCTACTCGCGCGGTTGCACTACGCTGCTCCTGCGGGCAGGCGCTTCGGTCGCGCCGGACACGGGATACTGCCCGCTCCTGTTGTCCGTGGCCATGGGGCAGTGTCAAATGGTGAATGTTCTGCTACATGCGAGGGCGTGCCCCCATCGGCGTGCCGTAGCGGGCAGCCTTCGCGGGATATCTCCGTATGGTCTGGCGTGTGAATGGAATGACGGAGAGATCATGCGGGCTTTCCGAATGCACGGGCACCATACTGCGGGCCCGCACCCGCCGATCCTGCCTGTTTGCTTTTCCCTGAGCGGTTGCGAGGTTGCCCTCAGTGAAGCCGGAGCCGAACATGCTTTGATCCTAGAGCAGTTCCATCGCATGCCTTCGGTGGGGTTGTTGGTCGCCGAAGAACACAGTGATCGGATTGCCATCACCTACGACTCTTCCGCGTCCTTGCCAACCTATGCACTGGCCCTGCGGCGTGCCTTTTGTAGGCAAGACTACGACTTGGCTGCTAACATCCTGGAGCGTCGACCCTTCCTGATCGAGGAGGCGGAGTATATAGTATGGGGTGACGACGGGCTTCCTCTTGTTTGGGCGGCTAAAAGACGGGAAGTCGGTGCTATTTCTACGCTGCTACAGGCGCGGGCATCTCCTAACATGACGACGCCCGGCCACGCCGCCCCGCTTCTGCTCGCGGCTCGGCATGGGGGAATTGGATCGGTCGCTCTACTTCTCCTGGCTCGAGCAGATGTCAATCACGTCGATGCCGACGGCCTCTCCGCGCTGAGCATAGGGGCGGCGCTCCGCTCCCCCCCTTTGGTCTCGCTCCTGTTGGAGTTCCGCGCTCATCTGAGCACGCGGCCGGAGGTTCTTTTGCCGCTATTGAACAGCACGTTCCAGCGCGATGGCCTCGGCCACGACCATTGTGAAACGTCGGTTCTGCTGCTGCGCGCAGCCGGCGGCGTTGGGCATTCCGACGTGGTCCACAAGGTAATTTCGGAACTCGTTCCGCGACTCCTGGCCGAGGGCAATTGGTCCGCCATCTTCGTGGTTCACTGCTGGGCGCACCTGCAGTTAGGACTCCAATCGACGGTCGCCTCCGGCTGTTGCCCTGCTTCGGCTTCGGGGTCCTAGGTTACAGGGTGTTCCTGTTGCCAGAAGAGCATCGAGGCGCAGTCATTCTGAAAGAAATCCTACGACGAGAAATGAGATCGTGCATGTAGGTTGGAGGAAGAACTTCATTCCACGGCGCCGGCCCTTCTTTCTCGGTCTTTTCATCTCCCGGAGGTGCTTGCTCGATTGCGGGAGACGGACGTTGCCCGTTGCGACGGAGAGCTGATTGGACAGGCAGGGAACCGTTTTGCTTGCATTCGACAAGAACGATTTGCCAGCCTTCTCAGGGAAACACCGGTGTTTCGGCTTCTTGGCCAGGCCAAGCCGAGGTTACCCAGGAACCGAAAGGCAAGCCTTTCTGCCGTTCCGCCTGTCTCGAGCCAGGTTCGATCTTGTCGACGGGGATCGGTACTTTCCTTTCGTCTTGCGGAGCTGCTTTGGCAGGTTACTCAGGTACGAGCGACGCAGTTCGCGTCCCGCGCGCATGAATCCTTGTTTTGAAAGGCAGATTCACACAAATCGGTCGGCTCGAAAGGGAATGGCATCCTGCGCTGTGTCCCGGGCCTTGGCTTCTAGTCACTTCAAGCTTTCCTGTCTTTGTTTTTTGCACTTAGGACACGACAAAGCCGAGGCGGGCTGCAGCGAAGGCCGATGTTGCACGCACACACACACACAGAAAGAAGCGCGTCGTTTCCGATTCGGATGTTTCCGCGATGTCAGGTTGAGTGCCGTCCCTCAACGGCAGAGACTAGGATTTTAGAGAGGCAGGGATGCTCCTGACTCCTTGCTCTTGTGGCGGAGCACGCGAAGGCAGCAGGGCGAGACTTCTGCAGGGTCTCGGCTCTCTAGCCAGACCAAGCCGAAATTTGCACCTGACGTACATCTTCGGGTAGTCTTTGCGCGGCCAGTCGCCATGGCTTTGCACGGGACATCAAAAATACACGTTGCCGAGCATCCCAGCGACCTGCGCGTCGCTTTGCTGGAGGTTGGAGGAAGAAGTTCATCTCACGGCGCCGGCCCTTCTTTCTCGGTCTTTTCATCTCTCGGAGGTCCTTGCCCGATTGCGGGAGACGGACGTTGCCCGTTGCGACGGAGAGCTGATTGGACAGGCAGGGAAGCGTTTTGCATGCATTCGACAAGAACGATGTGCCAGCCTTCTCAGGGAAACACCGGTGTCTCGGCTTTTTGCCCAGGCCAAGGCGAGGCTACCTAGGAACCGAAAGGCAAGTCTTTCTCTCATTCCGCCTGTCTCGAGCCAGGTTCGATCCTGTCGACGGGGATCGGTACTTTCCTTTCGTCTTGCGGAGCTGCTTTGGCAGGTTACTGAGGTACGAGCGACGCAGTTCGCTTTCTGCGCGCTTCAATCCTTGTTTTGTAAGGCAGATGCACAGAAATCGGTCGGCTCGAAAGGGAACGGCATCCTGCGCTGCGTCCCGGGCCTTGGCTTCTAGCCACTTCAAGCTTTCCTGTCTTTGTTTTTTTGCACTTAGGACACGACAAAGCCGAGGCGGGCTGCAGCGAAGGCCGATGTTGCACGCACAAACACACACACATACAAAGAAGCGCATCGTTTCCGATTCGGATGTTTCCGCGATGTCAGGTCGAGTGCCGTCCCTCAACGGCAGAGACTACGATTTTAGAGAGGCAGGGATGCTCGCGACTCGTTGCTCTTGTGGCGGAGCACGCGAAGGCAGCAGGGCGAGACTTCTGCAGGGTCTCGGCTCTCTAGCCAGACCAAGCCGAAATTTGCACTTCATGTACATCTTCGGGTAGTCGTGGCGCGGCCAGTCGCCATGGCTTTGCACGGGACATCAGAAATACACGTTGCCGAGCATCCCAGCGACCTGTGTGTCGCTTTGCTGGAGGGTCTGCCCAACTGGCTCGAGGCAGCTCCCATGCTGGTTTTGGGGAGAGACCCTGCCGGGATCGGTGTGCCGGAATTGAAGCGCGATCTAGGGCGCGCTTTCGGCATCGCTCCCGTATTTCTGCAGCTGCGGGAGACTCGACGCGATATCGGCGAAGGGGCGAATTGCCCGCTCTTTTGGCATGTGCGCTTCGTGCGGCCAGCGCTGCTTCCCTTCCAATGGGTCCTTACCGTCAACGTCTATCTGACGCGCGGGGACGAGATCGAGGCCTTGGCAGTGCTTATGCATGACGAGGTGCCGGACTTGGCAGACGACATCTGGGACCAGACGTTCTCGACTATCCGACGTCAGCACTTTAAACTTATCATCATGCTGATCCTGCGAGGCCGCCTCGCCGTTGATCATCGGCTATCGGCGGAAGATGCTTCCTTCTGGCGCGCTCCGCTCCTCTCACTAACTGCGGCAGGGCCTCGATGCCATTTCGAAGCGCTTTTGGCACTGCGGGCAGACGTAAACAAACCCGACAGTCGTGGTCATACCCCGCTGGTTTATGCGGTCTTGGCAAACTCACACGCTCGCACTACGCTGCTCCTGCGGGCAGGTGCCATGGTCGCGCCGGGCACGGGATACTGCCCGCTCCTGTTGTCCGTGGCCAAGAGGCAGCGTCAAATGGTGCATATCCTGCTACATGCGAGGGCGTGCCCCTATCGGCGCTCTTCAGCAGGCAGCCTTCGCGGACTTTCTCCGCACGGTCTGGCGTACCAATGGGATGACTCAGAGACCATGCGGGCTTTTCGAATCCACGGGCACCATGCCGCCGGCCCGCACCCGGCGATCCTGCCCGTGTCTTTTTCCTTGAGCGGAAACGAAGTTGCCCTGAGTGAAGTCGGAGCCGAACATGCCTCCGTGCTACAGCTGTGCCATCGCATGCCAACGGTGGGGTTATCTGCCGAAGAACACAGTGATCGGGTTGCCATCACTTACAACTCATCCGTGTGCCCGCGGGCCCACGCATCGGCCTTGCGGTGTGCCCTCAGTGGGGGCGACCATGACTTGGCAGCCAACATCCTCGAGCGTCGTCCTGACCTGATCCAGATGTCGGATTATCGAGCGTGGGGTTTTAACAACCTTCCTCTTTTGTGGGCGGTCGAGCACGGGGAAGCTGGTGCTGTTTGTACGCTACTACAGGCACGGGCATCTCCGAACGTGACGCGCGGGTCTGCTGCCCCGCTTCTTATTGCGGCTCGACAGGGAGATCTTTCGTTGGCCGCCATGCTTCTCCTAGCACGAGCAGATGTGAATCTTGTCAGTGCCGACGGCCGCTCCGCGCTGAGCATAGGGGCATCCTTCCGCAATCTTCCTCTGGTCTCGCTTCTCTTGGAGTTCCGTGCTCATGTCAGCCCACGCCCCGAGGTTCTCTCGGCGGTATTTCAGAAATCGTTTCTGGGTGGCGGCAGAAGCTTCGATCATTGTGCCGCGGCGCTTCTGCTGCTACGTGCTGCTGGTGCCCTTCCGCACTCCGTTGTCCATGCCGTACTCTCGGAACTCGTTCCGCAGTTCATGGCTGATGGCAACTGGAAAGCGATCTTCGCGATTCAGTGCTGGGCGCAGTCGCAGTTAGGTCTCCAACCGAAGGTTGGCTCCGACCGTTGCTTTGCCCTGGCTTCGGGGTCCTAGGCAACGGTGCGTGGCTGTTGCCGCAGGAGCACGGAGTCCGTGTCACATCGAAAGAGGACCGAGTACGGAAAATGAGATCGTGCATGTAGGCTAGAGGACGAACTCCATGCGACGGGACGGACTCTCTTTGTCGGTGTGCTTATCCCGTTCAGGTCCTTGCCTTGTCGACAGAGACACGCACTTTGCTTGTCGCGATGGAGAGCTTTCGGGGAGGCGGAGAATCGTCTTGCTTTGTGGCGATAAGCATGACGTGCTAGCATTCTCAGGAGAACAGGGGAGTCTCGGCGCCATGCCCAGGCTAACCTGATGCTGTGTATGAAGGGGACAACATGCTTTATCTCTCGCAGTCTGGGCTGTCTCCACGCAGTCAGTCTGCGAAGCTACCGATTTTCTCGATGGAGCTCCTGGACAGGCGGGGAAATGTCTTGCTTGGAGAGAGAATAAGAACTGGCTGGCATTCTCAGGGGAGCAGGGGAGTCTCGTGTCTGCGGCCGGGTCAAGGCGATGTGGAGCCGATACGTGCGTTGCCTCGAATTCAGAGTTCTGCCAGTCTCAGGTCGAGCTCCGTCCCTGAACGACAGAGCATACGAGCTCGGAGAGGCGGGGAAGCCGAGGGCTCGTTTTTCTCGTTTCGGAGCATGCGTGGGCGGCAGGGCGAGAGTCTCGCAGGGTCTCGGCTCTCTGGCCAGACCAAGCCGAGGTTGCAAGCGATTTAAATCCCGAGGTGGCTCTCCTGCGCCACGTCGCCATGGCTTCGCCTGGGCCCTTAAAAGTACAGCTAGGCGAGCGTCCCAGCGATCTGTGTGCGGGGCTGCTGCACGGCCTAGCCAACTGGCTCGGGGCGACGCCCATCCTCGTTCGGGGGTCAGTTCGGGGGCTTCAGCGCGAGAAGGTCTTCATGCGGGAGCTCGGGCGTGCTCTTGGCGTCGCCCCCATCTTTCTGCAGCTGCAGGAAGACGGACGCGACGTCGCGGAAGCAGCGGCTTCGTCTGTGTTCGTGCACGTGCACTTCGTGCAGCCAGCGCTAACTCCGCTGGAATGGGTCGTCACCGTTGACGTCTATCTCGAGCGTGGGGACGAGGACGAGGCCTTGGCAGTGCTCATGCACCACGAGGTGCCGGAGCTAGCAAATGAGATCTGGGATGATACGCTGCGTATCATCGCCCAGCACCACCATTCCGTTCTCATCATGCTGATCATGCGAGGACGCCTTGCCGTCGATCGTCGGCTCCCGGTGGAAGATTTCTCTTCCTGGCGTGCTCCGCTTCTGTCGCTGGCCGTGGAACAGCCCAGAGGCGATTTCGAAGCGCTTTTGGCATTGCGGGCGGATGCTAATTTCCCCGACAGTCGTGGTCACACCCCTCTGGCTTATGCCGTCTTGGCCTACTCGCACGGTTGCACCACGCTGCTGCTACGAGCAGGTGCCTCGGTCGCGCCGGACACCGGATATTGCCCGCTCCTGTTATCCGTGGCCAAGATGCAGCGTCAAATGATGCATATTCTGCTACATGCTAGAGCCTGCCCCCATCGCTGTGCCGTAGCGGGCAGCCTTCGCGGGGTTTCTCCACATGGCCTGGCGTGTCAATGGGACGATGCAGAGACCATGCGGGCTTTTCGAATCCATGGGCACCATGCCGCCGGCCCGCACCCGGCGATCCTGCCCGTGTCTTTTTCCTTGAGCGGAAGGGAAGTTGCTTTCAGTGAAGCTGGAGCCGAACATGCTATCATTCTACAGCTTTGCCATCGCATGCCTCCGGTGGGACTATTTGCTCGAGAACAGTGCGATCGGGTTGCCATCACTTACGACTCTTCTGCGTCCGTGGATACTCACGCGCTTTTTTTGCGGCGTGCCCTTAGCGGGGGCGACTATGACTTGGCTGCCAATGTCCTGGAGCGTCATCCCTTCTTGATCGAGCAGGAGCATGGAGCATGGGGCGACCACGGCCTTCCTCTTTGTTGGGCGGCCGAGCGACGGGAAGTCGGAGCTGTGTCTACGCTGCTACAGGCGCGGGCATCTCCGAACACGACGGGCCGCCGCCGTGCTGGCCCGCTTCTGCTTGCGGTCCGATTCGAAGACGTCGGATCGGTCGCCACACTTCTCCTGGCAAGAGCAGATGTCAATCGCGCCAGTCCGGAGGGCCGCTCTGCACTGAGCATGGGGGCGGCGCTGCGCTCTCAACCTTTGGTCTCGCTCCTCTTGGAGTTCCGCGCTCACGTGAGCCCATGTCTCGAGGTTCTCTTGCCGCTACTGAACAGCACGTTCCTGCGTGTGGGCCAAGGCCACGACCACTGTGCAACGCCGGTTCTACTGTTGCGCGCGGCTGGTGGTCTTTCGCATCCCCTCCGGGTCCATGCCGCAATCTCGGAACTCGTTCCGAAACTCCTGGCCGATGGCAACTGGTCCGCAATCTTTCTTCTTCAGTGCTGGGCGCAGTCGCAGTTGGGTCTCCAATCGAAGGTCGGTCGCGACCGTCGCCTCGTCCAGGCTTCAGAGTCCTAGGCAACAGCGTGTGGCTGTTGCCACACGATCGCGGAGCCAGTGTCGTATCGAAAGAAACCCTACCGCGGAAAATAAGGTCCTGTGTGCCGGCGTGAGGAGGAACTCCACGCGACGGGCTGGGCTTTCTTCCTTGGTGTCCTTATCTCCGTCGGGTCTTTGCCTCGTTGACAGAGACAGACTTTGTTCGTCGCGGCACACGCCAAGGAGTACAGCATGCGGATTTACAGGATCTTCCAGGAAACAGCGCCCACCGAGCTTCGGGGCACTCGTTTTTTTTTTTTGACACTTTCCTAAGAAAGCCGAACGACAAGGCTCTGGTGGCGCCGGTGACAGCCTTGAAAATCAGGCTTCTTCTTTGACCTTCCTAGGAGGTCGACGACCAGTCTCCGGCAGCGTGACACAGTGGAAAGTCGAGCAAACAAGGGAGGCCGCCTCTGCATTCAGCGACTGTGCTTGCGTTCAGCGAGTGTGCAAGTCCTGCCCGTAGTTAGCGAGTGTGCAAGTCGAACACCAAAGCTTGGTCCTCTCCGACCCCCATAGGACGTTAGCCGGGTGCAGGGGTGGCTGGATACATTAATTTTCCTTGGGGTTACACAGCAGGTACTGTATCCTGTGGGGGGGGTGTGGGAATCATGGTCGGGGATGGTGATCAACAAACCGTATTGCTTGCTGGCGACTAGAACCACTTGCCAGCATTCGCGGGAGAACCGGGGAGCCTCGACAGGCGGAGGTCGGTCCCTACGCGGCGAAGCCACGCCTTCGAGCAGGCGGGGACTTTTCCTGATCGCTTCGGAGTGGCAGCAGCAGGGGCAACGAGCACCGTCGCGAGGCTTTCGCAGGGTCTCGGCTCTATATGGCCAGACCAAGCCGACGTCGTAAAGGAGAGGTAGATAGTTTTAGGTTCAGAGTTTAGGGGTTTGGGCTTCGGGTTTATATATACGTTCGGAGTTAGAGAGATCGATGAAATCATGCATTTCAGAGAGACCTCGTCCAACAAATTGGGTTCAGAGTTTAGGAGTTTAGGAGCCTTGGTGCTCAGATCTCACGGTTCGTGGAGTTTGGAGTTTCTGGTATTCTGGGTTGAGGCCTTTGTGAGACCTTTAGTAGGGCTCGTGCCGAATTCTTTCTTTCGGTCTAGTTTCGGCTCCTCTTATCGGGCACTGGAGACCCTTCTCCCGGCAGATACGTCTTGCTAGAAGGGCCCCAGAACTCTGTCACGGGCCCTAGGCCGTAGCAGCTGCTGCTGAGAGATGGCCCATTCTTTCGTGGAGTTTCATTCACTTGCTGGCGCAGCTCCTGACGATGATGAGGCCGGGGACACGATCATTGAGCCTCCGGCGACCACTGCTGCTGTTGACGAGCTGCCTGGAGAGCGACTCCCAGATTCTGCAGATCGCTCTCGTTCACCGCCCTCGGATCGAGGTTTTGGCCGGCTGCCTGGCCCGCTGACTGCCGAGCGAGTCGACAAACATCTTCGTGAGGTCAAGGAAGAGCTCATCACCGTCCGCTTGGATCTGGGGCGCGAGCGTTACCGGACGAACCAGCTCCAGCGACAGGTCGGTTCCCTCATGCGAACCCTGGATGAGGCTCGAGCTGATCTGCAGGACTTGCGAAACCGCATCTCGCGTCTGGAGAATCCCGTGGGAGCACTTACTCCGCCCTGATGTGCCGCCGATGACATTTTGATCTGGACTCGGCCTGGCGTCCTCGAAGGTTGCCAGCTCATGGACTGTGACTGTGACTGTGCCGTGGGCCGTGGGCTGCGGCTGGCGCCCTATGACATGTGCCTGGCCAGCAAGCTGCCAGGGCCAGCAAGCCCCCCCGGCTTGAACAGCACGTTCCTGCGTGTGGGCGAAGGCCACGACCACTGTGCAACGCCGGTTCTACTGTTGCGCGCGGCTGGCGGTCTTTCGCATCCCCTCCGGGTCCATGCCGCAATTTCGGAACTCGTTCCGAAACTCCTGGCCGATGGCAACTGGTCCGCAATCTTTCTTCTTCAGTGCCGGGCGCAGTCGCAGTTGGGTCTCCAATCGAAGGTCGGTCGCGACCGTCGCCTCGTCCAGGCTTCAGAGTCCTAGGCAACAGCGTGTGGCTGTTGCCACACGATCGTGGAGCCAGTGTCGTATCGAAAGAAAACCTACGGCGGAAAATAAGGTCCTGTGTGCCGGCGTGAGGAGGAACTCCACGCGACGGGCTGGGCTTTCTTCCTTGGTGTCCTTATCTCCGTCGGGTCTTTGCCTCGTTGACAGAGACAGACTTTGTTCGTCGCGGCACACGCCAAGGAGTACAGCATGCGGATTTACAGGATCTTCCAGGAAACAGCGCCCACCGAGCTTCGGGGCACTCGTTTTTTTTTTTTGACTTTCCTAAGAAAGCCGAACGACAAGGCTCTGGTAGCGCCGGCGACAGCCTTGAAAATCAGGCTTCTTCTTTGACCTTCCTAGGAGGTCGACGACCAGTCTCCGGCAGCGTGACACAGTGGAAAGTCGAGCAAACAAGG